CATGCCCAGTTGTGGGCTCAATCCCCAGTAGGAGGTGTGCAGGAGGCAGCCAATCAATGATTCTCTCTCGTCATTGATGTTTCTATCTCTTTCTCCCTTCCTCTCTGAAGTCAATAATAATTTTAAAACAACATATTTTTAAATGTTAACTGGTAAGAAACACTTAAGTTGGCTTTCCTATCTTTTCTGGTCAGCTGGAAGTTTCCTCTATCGTCTCTTCTTTCCTTGTTTGTTTTGGTCTCACACACTGAAGCAAAACAAAAGGGGAAAGGCACTTAATGCACAAGACCTTCTGAATGTTGTAGCAGAATTTCCCTAATCAGTTTTATTGGAAATTTATAGTTTGCTTCCTGTTTCATCTTCCATCATGCCTCCAATGACTAGATGTTTATTAATTTTAGACCACACATTTTTTTATTAATGACTTCATTACTACATCTTTTACAAAGCATCTTAAGTATTGTAAGCACTCCCTGGCCATCTATGCCATCCATTCTTGCTAGCAACTGTAAAATATGTAGCATCAAAATGACCAAAGAAGCTTGAGAAGTGAATCCATATAAAGATGATTACTCACCACGGTCAACGTGTACACATTGACTCTAAAACACAGGATTGGTTCTAAGAGCTAAATGTTTCAATAGCTACAGGGGAGCCATGAAAGTTCTCTTCGGTGCATAACCTCAGGTCAGAAATATTCTCATCTCACACAAGCAGTGTTGTCATATGCAAGCCCCAGGGAATCAGGGCAAAGACCAAGCCTGTCCCTTGCAAGAACTTCACTGTCCTCATTTCCAGGAATGGCTGTGGTCAGCAGAGCATCGAATCTCAGTGCCAAGAGGGAGGGAAGCCAGAGGGAGCCTCAAGTAACTGAATACCAGGTCATTCCAGGCTTCAAAATAGCCGCCTTCACCTCATGGGCCATTCGAAGATATCCATACAGAACGTAGTAATAAAACCTTACACCAGAGAAACATGTTTCTGTCAGGCATTTTTGCTCAATCCCTTTGCTTTTGGTTTTTAATTTATTTTTAATTACAGTTGGCATATAATATTACCTTAGTTTCAAGTGTAGTGTTAATAGACATCTATATAACTTATAAAGTGATCACCTTGGTAAATCTAGTACCCATCTAGCACCATATGTAGTTATTACAATATTATTGACTATATTCCTTAGGCTATAGTCTTCATCCCTGTGACTATATTTATAACTAGCAATTTGTGCTTGTTAATCCCTTTCATCATTTTTACCCACACCCCCAAATCCCCTTATGATCTGGCAACCACCAATTTGTTCTCTGTATCTATTATATGAGCTTGTTTCTGTTTTTGTTCATTTATTTTGAAATCATATGGTATTTTGTCTTTCTCTGTCTGACTTATTTACAATAGCCAAGATATGGAAGCACTCTAAGAGTCTATCAATAGATGGACGAAGAAAGAAGATGTGGTACATATATACATACAAAAAGAATTAAATCAGTCCCGTTGCTTTTATTTTCCAGAGTTTCTTCCTCAGCTTAAATTTTTCCTCCCTAGTCATTCACTCCCTGGGCGGTTTAATTCTCCCCTTGGTATAATCATCATGCATAGAGATAATGTGGAAACTATTTCTTTTTTTTAACATAAAATTTTATTGATTTCAGAGAAGAAGAGAGATGGAAAGAGAGATAGCAACAGCAATGATGAGAGAGAATCATTGATTGGCTGCCTATTGCACACACCCACACTGGGGATCGAGCCCACAACCTGGGCATGTGCCCATGGAATCAAACCATGAATTCTTGGTTCATAGGAAGATGCTCAGCCACTGAGCCACACTGGTATGGCAAAAACACAGTTTTTTATCTCTTCTGCTTTCCTTATCACTACTTCTAGTCTCTTAGATGGCTGTGTCACCTCCTTTCACACATCCTTCAATTCACCCCTAACTGTCCCATTGCCCATATTTTGTTTGATGACTACCATCCACCCAGCTGTTTACACTAAAAACCTCAGTCATCTTTCCTCCTTTTCTCCATCACGTGCCTCCACTCTCCTCCCCACAAACACATTCAGTCAGGCATCAAGTCTGGTCACTTCTGCCTGTGGAATGTTTCTGGAATCCTAAGACTTTGCAGGAACCTTTTAGCTTGTCTCCGACCAAAATCTCTGTTTCTGATTCATCCTCCTTCCAGGAGGATGGTCATTAATTATTCTTCCAAAAGAATAAGAATATTCTTTACCTCTCCCGGCTTAATAATATCCAATAGATAGCCATTGTCTAGATAAAATTTAATTCTAGTTAAATTTTATCTAGACAATGGTTTTACCTCTCCCGGCTTAATAATATCCAATAGATAGCCATTGTCTAGATAAAATTTAATTCCTTAACAATGTGTACACAATTTCTTTATGTCCCTTCACTCCTGATCAAAACTCATTTTTCAGCTAACCTGCTCTCTTATTTTGCTGCTTTCTGAAAAGTGGCAGCCAGTTTGGTGGTTTTTTTTTTTACACTTTACCCCAGAAGTGATTTCTTAATGTGCTACCTATAGGGTATCTGATGATAGTTAAAGAGACATATCTCTGGAGTTACCTATAAGTGTTTTGGGTGCTGGAGGCTAGAGGGTTGTTGTGAACAACAAGATCCTAAGGTGACACTGTATTTTGCTTGCTCTGTGTGCAGGCAGTGGCAGCCCCCAAGTTATGCAGTGCCAGCATATAGTTCTGGAGGAAATTGTTCAGGTTCCAATTTTTTTATTTTATTTTATTTTATTTTATTTTATTATTATTTTTAAAATATATTTTATTGATTTTGTACAGAAAGGAAGGGAGAGAGATAGAGAGCTAGAAACATCGATGAGAGAGAGTCATCGATCAGCTGCCTCTTGCACACCCCCTACTGGGGATATGCCCGCAACCAAGGTACATGCCCTTGACCGGAATCGAACCCGGGTTCCTTCAGTCCCCAAGCCAACGCTCTATCCATTGAGCTAAACCGGTTTTGGCTTTTTTAATTTTTTTTAAATGAAAAGATAGTTGGCAAGATTTGTGTGTAATTTTGGAAATACTTCCTTTTTCTTTTTTTTCTTTTTTTATTTTTAATACTTCCTTTTTCTATATTTTTGAAAGTGTTAATGTAAGTTTGTGTGTGTGTGTGTGTGTGTGTGTGTGTTGTATTTTCTGATGTAATAACTGCGTTGTCTCGGTGGATGAAATAATTTTAAAACTTTATTCCTTCCCCACCCCCAGCACCTTCTGTTTGCCTTTGCTCTTCCCTAATTTTCTTCATTTTATTTTTCACTTCATTTTTTTTCCATCTCTCAAAAATATTTTTTAAAATATTTTTATTTATTTCAGAGAGGAAGGAAGAGGGAGGGAGAGAGAGCTAGAAACATCAATGATGAGAATCGCTGTTCAGTTGCCTCCTGCATGCTCCTCTCTGGGGATTGAGCCCGAAACTGTGACCTCCTGGTTCCTAGGTTGAAGCTCAACCCCTGAGCCATGCCAGCCAGGCTCGAAGTATTTTTTTCTTTTTATTTAGGTCATGCTTTGCAAGTTTGTGTTGGGGATTTTATTTTATTACCTTATTTTATCCTAATTAAAAAAATAAACAAACCTTATTAATCTGTTGTCTTGTCAAAGAATCTGAAGTCCAAAATAATATCCAGTATCATCTCATAAATTTGGCTAGTATTTCAGTCACAAATAATGTTGCTTCTCCAGAATAAAGAAATCTTTGATTTACTCTTCCCACCAAAGCACCGGTGAATGAGAATGGAGGCAGTCCAAGGTGGACTCCAGGTCCCAGGGGCAAGGTTGACCTCCAGGTGGAGGGAGGAGGGTTGGGCACAACTCCTGGCCAGGTTAGAATGTGCTTTCTTTAATTAGTACAAAGCAGTCAAGGTTAGCAGAGCATGATTAATATTTCTTATAACTATAGCTAGTCCCCAATATTCTATTTCTGCCCACAACACTGTTAATAGGCATGGCATCAAGGACAATTTCCAGACTTGTGCTCACTCCAGAGAAAAACAAGAGTATGGCTTCTCGAATTTCTTCACTGGGTAACTTAGAATGCAGTTATGTGAAGACCAGCTGCCCATATCGTGTTACTTGATTTCAGCATCAAAGTTATAAAGGAAACAAGCATCCAAATCAACAAAATAATATGATTGATCATGACCATAAATCTACTAGCTCTCTGATTTGGGCCTTAAAAAAAAAAAACTCCTTTAAAATTCTTAGTTTTACTTTACTCAAATAGACTACACTAGCTCATACGTAGGTGCTCTCTCCATTCCAGATGCTCTTCTAGACACTTGCTCTCCTCCTAAGTTTTTATTCTAATGAGAAAACCATTCTTCACAGACAGTAGTTACAGCTTTTAAATAACGGAGCAACCTCAAGGAGAAGAAAGCGGAGGGTGGGAGGCAATCCCGAACACTCACGTACATAGAACCTACAGACCAGTGTTCTTGGTATAGCTTTATGGGCTAAAAACCTTGTATACCTTTTTCTTACAGGCACTGTTCTAGAAAGGCGGGGGGCGTTTTTTCAGAGGGGGAGGGCTACGTTCCACTTGGTCTGTCCCCATGCCTGTTAACCAATACAACTGGTCTCCTTCCGCCGCCGTGGGAAATAAGCAACAGCGGGAAAGTAATAATAACGCTGGAGCTAATTCCGTTATCTGGGCTGCTAAGGAGAAGGGCGGTGAGCTCCTGAGCTCGTTCTTTCCAGCTCTCCCCGCCCGCGCCCCAGGGCGGAGCACCTGCGAGCAGCAGAAGGGGCTGACCGAGCTCCCCAAGGGGCGGACTGCGATCCCCAAGAGGCTGTGGAGGCGGGGCCCGGGGGGGGGGGAGGGGGGACCGGTCTGCGGCAGATGCGGAGCCGGCGGCCGCTGCACCCGTTCTCCCGGCCTCGGAGCGTGCGCAGGCGCGGGGTGCGCTAGGAGTGGGAGGTCAAGGTAGCCTTGGGGCGCAGTGCTGACCGGTGGGCCACCCGCTCCGGGCGCGATGAGACCCGGAGAGGAGCCGCCGGCGGCGGGGGGCGCCCCCGAGCTGGAGCTGCTGGAGCTGCTGGAGCAGCTGAAGCTGCGCGCCGCGGAGCGCATCGACGAGGCGGCGGGGCGGCTGGGCGCGCTGAGCCGCGCCATCTGGAGCGAGCCCGAGCTGGCCTACGCGGAGCACCGCGCGCACGGGCTGCTGACGCGCTTCTTCCAGGGCGAGCCGCCCGCCGCCGCCTGGGCGGTGCAGCCGCACTACGCGCTGCCCACGGCCTTCCGCGCCGAGTGGGCGCCGCCGGGGGCCGCGTCCGCAGCCAGCCCGCTGCAGCTGGGCTTCCTCTGCGAGTACGACGCGCTGCCGGGCATCGGGCACGCCTGCGGCCACAACCTCATCGCCGAGGTCGGGGCGGCGGCCGCGCTGGGCGTGCAGGGCGCCCTGGAGAGCCTCCCCGGGCCGCCGCCGCCCGTGAAGGTGAGGCGGGACCCGGCGCGGGGCTCCATCACCTGCCCCGGCCGGTGCCGACCCGGGACCCGCGGAGCCGATGCCTCCCGCGCGCCCGTGTCCTCCCATCCGGGCAGGTGTAGCGCCCCCAGACGCCCCAGCCTCGCCTGGGTAGAAGGCAGAGACCCTGGGTAAAACTTACTGAGTTGCCCACCTGCCTACGCTTTGCAGAGAACTGGGTTTTGTTGCCTCTTACATATTTGTAAATAATTAAGTGGGTTCTCCCTTACGAAAGAACTTAGAGTCAAGCCTGATTTTCGTTCAGGTTTATTTTTGGTAATTGTAGCTGCTGCAATGTGCTGACGAGGTGGTGCAGTCCCCTGGAAGTGGTTATTGTAGGGAAACCTACAGCCCCTCTTCATTAGCCCCCCCCCCCCAAATCTTCTGTTGGTGGCAGAAACTGCTTGAATTTGAAGTTGTTGATCAAAACAAGCATCCAAATGATTACAAACATCCAAATGACAGATGCTACTGTCTGTGAAGAATGGTTTTCTCATTAGAATAAAAATTTAGGAGTAGAGCAAGTGTCTAGTAGAGCATCTGGAATGGGGAGAACACCTACGTATGAGCTAGTGTAGTCTATATAAGTAAAGTAAAACTAAGAATTTAAAATGAATTTTTTAAAAGCCCAAATCAGAGAGTTAGTAGAAGATATATGGTCATAATTATTCATATTATTTTGTTGATTTTGATGCTTGTCTTGATCAAGAAAAGGAGTTGTTGTAATTTGAATCATCAGTTTTTTTTGGTTTGTTTTTTAAACATGTTTTTTATTTATTTCAGAGAGGAAGGGAGAGGGAGAGAGAGAGAAACATCAATGATGAGAGAATCATTGGTTGGCTGCCTCCTGCACGCCTCACACTGAGGATGAGTGGATAACACAGGCAACCCGGGCATGTGCCCTGACCTGGAATCCAACAACGACCTTCTGGTTCATAGGCTCACGCTCAACCACTGAGCCACACCTGCTGGGCTGGCAGGGCTTGAATCATTAGTTTTGGGGTAGGATACTTTCAGTCGTTACAACTCCCAAACCCTTAGAAATATATACACACACAACTATTAATACACAGATGTAGTTGATAAAGTTTGAGTCCTAATGTTTATTTCATGTTTTTAATAAATACCTCAGTTCTGTAAACGGGGAAATGTCTTTTATGTTGGTTGTAGGGCAAGTGTAAGCTTGTGTTCCTGTTTTTCCTGATGGTATATTCATTCTGTGAACTAAGATGCAGTCATTGCCATTCAGGTTAAGGGGAATACTAATGTTTTGTTTTATTCTTAGCCCCCTTTTTCCAATGTAACCTTTTACTTTTATCCTAGCAGTTCCATCTTTTGTGACTTCTGTTTAGCTGCCTTCATGCTTCTGCTCTGGGGGCTTGTTCTGGCATTTGGTTAGGCTTTTGTTTTGTTTGGGGTGGGGTATCCTTTGCCAATACATGAAACACTGGAGAGATTTAGCTTTAACTGGATTTATGACATGTTCATAGAAGTCAATAAATTTGAAGTCATCACATTTAACTTGCCAAGGGTTTAGAGTTTAAAGCAGCATAATTTAAGAGTTTGGGCGCCTTATAACTTCTAAAGAAAGCCGGACTTTGGGAGATGTACCCAGTTCTGTCTTTGAATGGTTGGCTGAGTTTTTAGCCAGGTTATCTGTCCTACCTGAAAGTGAAATTTATGTAGATTCCCTTTGCAAGCCAAGACTTTTTCCAACTTGTTTTTGTGTCCTTATACGTGATCTTGAAAGCATATTAGCTGCTTATAGATAATTTTTTCTTTGCTTTAAGAATTGTTTGAAGAAGTTAAACTGAGATGTCAAAATAAAATGCTTATTCTGCAGAATTCTCTTTTGGTTAATTAGGTGTTTGGTGACCATTAAACCTGCCTGGTTGAACTGGTAGAAAAAAATTAGTAAGTTTGTGTAATAGTTGGCCATTCCTAACTATGGTCTTGTTACAGAAAACCAGAGAAGAACCAAGCAATACTTAGAGAGATGGAGTTACATTTATTACACGGGTCCAGAGGAAAATGTTTCTCAAATTCTGGGCCCCAACATGGAGGAATTTTCCCTATTTTTATGTTTTTACCTTCTTTGTCTCCCAAATATGGGGTGTTTCTGGCCCCTTTGCAAATTCTTAAAGAGCCCCTATGTGCTGGGTTCTTGAGACCTCAACCAAAGGCCTGACCTGGTGCCAGCACTGATAATTTTGTCCGGGGAAGGTTTAATGGCCTCTATGAAGTGGGAATAGTCTTATTTTCCTTATTATTTAAGCAAGCAAGCACTTACAGAAACCAAATAGCAAGGTTAAAATTTCAAACAGCAGTTTTTATATAAGATGGATGCTTCAGTCTTAATATTTATTTATTGTTCTTCATGAATGATTAATGAATTAAGATCTTTTCAGGAGGTGGCTCAATAAGGAACAAGCCTGAACATCTCATCCCAGCTCTCCCTGAAGACTGGCTCTGTGATGTGGGGCAAGGCACTTCACCCTAGACCTCCAAATTTGAAGTCATCTCTAAAGTGGTGTCACAGATCACTCACCTACCACACAGGGTTGTTGTGAGAAGAACTAATAAGTAACTGGAAAAGTGCTTATGAATAATTATGTCTATATACTAAAAGACATATAGATTGGGAATATGTATGCAAGAGAGCTTGTTTGATACTTTCCCATTAGGATTTTTTATTTTGTTCTGACACAGGTATTTCCTTCTAGGTCATTGTCCTGGGAACCCCTGCAGAAGAAGAAGGTGGTGGCAAGATTGATTTAATTGAAGCCGGGGCTTTTAAAAACCTTGATGTTGTTTTTATGGCCCATCCATCCCAAGAGAATGCTGCTTATCTCCCTGATGTGGCTGAACATGAGTAAGTAATCAAGTTGAATAAACTTCTTAGTGGAAAACGGACTACTAGAATACTTTTTACGTCTTTTTTTTTTTTTTTTTTTTAAATAGGAACAGAAATGTATTGTCTTAAATGTGAAGTCTGAATCAGGTGACAGGGCCAAGATCCTTCTAAAACCTGTAGTGGGGAGGACACTTCCTGCCTCCTCCAGCTTCTGGTAGCCCCAGGCATTCCCTGGCTTGGGGCAGCCTAATTCTAATCTCTGCCTCTGCTGCTTTCACATGGCCTCCTCTCTCTGTCTCTTCACATCGTCTTTCCTCTATGTCTCTAGAATACTTTTCTGTCTTAACTGGAGACTAACACTTCGTATTTATACTTTTAAGAAGTAAATCGAAAGATAATGATGTGATGTCTTATTAGGTTTTAATTGACTTGTACTTGGCAAGCCTCTTCTAATTGAGATTTAATATAATGTTCATAATTGGACTATTAAAATAACGCCTACAAAGCATAAGAATAGCAAACAGTATGCTGACACATGTTCTATTTTAAACTGTCTGAGAGTAAATCTGGTTTCTTTTTTGAAAGAAATATATTTTTATGATTTCAGAGAGGAAGGGAGAGGGAACGAGAGATAGAAACATCAGTGAGAGAGAATCATTGATGGGCTGCCTCCTGCCTGCCCCCTTTGGATCAAGTCCAAAACCCAGACATGTGCCCTGATCGGAAATCAAACCCTGACCTACCTCCTGGTTCATAGGTCAAGGCTCATCCCCTGAGCCACACTGGTCGCGATAATCTGATTTTTAGAAGTTGTCCTAACTCATTTCAAATGTCACCTTCCCCCACCCTTAAGACAGAATTACCTGAATTTTTGCAGACATTTGGTATAGAACTATCACATCAACTCTAGGAGACAGGAGTCTTCATGTTTGTAAATTCAGCATCTAAAATAGTATTGAATACTTGTTTGAAGGTAATTGTGTATAAATTCAATTTGCATAGGATGTCGATTGATCAATTTCTCTTTTTTTTTGGATGCCTTCTTTGTGTCAGTCGCTGTATTACATAATAATAAACAACAGCTAAGCTACAAAAAAAATGCTGTTATGGCTACAAATGATTCGCAAAAGAAAATTCTAGCAGTATGAATTACTTTGGGTAATTCTAACTCCTTGGCTTTTCTTACTTCAGTGACATTGAAAAAAGATAATTCTGAATGGTGTTTTGTTTCCTAGTGTAACTGTGAAATACTTTGGAAAAGCGTCTCACGCTGCTGCTTACCCCTGGGAGGGAGTAAACGCATTAGATGCTGCTGTTCTCGCCTACAACAATCTGTCTGTGTTAAGACAGCAAATGAAACCAACCTGGAGAGTTCATGGTACGAATGCCACATATTTTGTGTAATAGATGGTACTTAATATATTTCAATGCGATATAATTAATATTTGCTTATATTAAAAAAATTAGAAACATTGGTTATAGAAACATTTGTCAGAAGTTCTGTGGCAGGACACTAGGATGTTCTATTTTTGGGTCAGATGACATTTGAGATTATTTTTAAATATAAATGGAACAGCCATTTTGAGAATTACAGGTCAGTAGTTTTATATAAGGACCTTTCTGTGGCCATTTGAAAGTTGGAACATGACTTTCCAGTTATTCTATCTTTTAAATGATAACAAAATTTTGTCATTTCCTCAGTTTAAAGAAGTTAGGATTACTGGTTTTATTTACTCAAGTGCTATTAAATCTAAGTAACATCTTTTAAAATTATCTTTATATCAATACAGTAATACAGTACAATCTTGAAGGTACAAATTTATCTTTTAGTTCATATCTTTATGATTTGGGAAATTATTATACTTCAATATCTATTTTTCTTACCTAATATTGCTGTAGGCTTAAATTATTTTGTAATTAATTATACTACCTTAGTTTCTAAAAAAAAAAAAAAAAGTACTTTATAAAGTAGGTTATATAATTTAGGTTTTGTATATCTATTTTAGTTATAACTTTGAAGAGATAAACCTTCCTTCTCTCTGTAGTTCCAAATAAATGCTTTTTAAAAAAAATATATTTTATTGATTTTGTACAGAGAGGAAGGGAGAGAAAGCTAGAAACATCGATGAGAGAGTCATCGATCAGCTGCCTCCTGCACACCCCCCACCGGGGACATGTCCGCAACCAAGGCACATGCCCTTGACCGGAATCGAACCCGGGTCCCTTCAGTCCCCAAGCCGACACTCTATCCATTGAGCCAAACCGGTCTCAGCTAAATGCTTTTGTTTTAACAGCTAATAATACTTAATGATCTTTGACACATATTTTTAGAGTAAAAATTATTTTCCCTGAGTCAAATGCCTTATGAAATACTCATGCAATTGTTTAAGTTCAAGGATAATTATAGAACTTCACACCATCAGGGTTTTTTCTCTTCTCATATCAAACATTTATCAAAATGTACAAATGTAATATAAGTTACTGAAATAAAAGCATTTTCCAGGAGGCTTAATATAGTTATAAAGTTTCTAATAATTTCTTAAAGTCAGGAATTTCTTATAAATTCCTTAGAATAAAATACATATAGACTATTATTTTATTTCTTTCCCTGTTGGCTAGAAAGCATCACACTATGACATATAGAAACTTTTGTTGTACCACAAAGTCTTTGATTGGCATTATCTGTGAAGCATATACCTTTAAATTATTTTTCTTTATGTACAAATTGGCTGGAAAACGATATGCGTGTATTTAAGCTTAAAGAAATGGTCTCCAAGCTCAATTCCAGTCATTTGGTTCTTTTTGTAGGTATAATAAAACATGGTGGTGTAAAGCCCAATATCATTCCCTCTTATTCTGAATTAATCTATTACTTCCGTGCACCCTCAATGAAAGAGCTTCCAGTTTTGACCAAAAAGGCAGAAGATTGCTTCAGAGCTGCAGCTTGGGCTACTGGGTGCACAGTAAGAACTTTTAAGAGTTAATCTAAATTATCATCAGATATGCATCTGTGGACTGAGGCTGTTTGTTTTAAATTAGATTAGAATCTTACTTGCTTTTTTATTTGGTGTTGTCTTGAATATGTAAATTCAGTTAACGGACTAGTTGATGCAAAAGCCTTCACTTGTTAATTATTTAACTCGGTGTGTACACCGGGAAGACTTCATATTACATAGTAATTGGAATAGCTGATTCTGCTGAGCTAGAAATCCTGCCGTTTTGCAAGTTATATCTGTCCTTATTGGTAGTTAAGCTTTTAGAATTGCTCTATATAGTTTCTAGGGCAAAATCAGCAAAAGCTATTTTTTTGGTGAGGATAGGTACAGCAGGGGCATAAATACTTACGGCTTACTGGAGTGAAAGTCAAAATGACACAGAAGTTAGTCGGGAAGTTTTGTTCATTTGTACCATGAAGTCAGTAACATTTATGTACCAGTTATGAGGGCATACAGTGGCATGAGAAGTTACAGAATGACAAATTTTGCCCTGTAGGGCGCCAGTCATCTGATTGGAGAGACAAGATCTGGATCTGTGCCTCTCAGCCTCACTGATTCTGTGACTTCTGGAAACATTATTTAATACCTCTTTGCCTCCATTTTGTCTAGAAAAATGGAGAGAAAATAACCTAGCTTAGGGTTCTTATGAGAATTAAGTGAGGTCATGTTTATGAAGAGTTGGGGTCCAATCATACATAATACTTTCTTTTTATTTTTAAAATTATAAGAGAAAGTTTATTTAGAAAGTTACAGAGGTAGTAGAAGTGAGCCAGCTGCACTGCATAGACTCAGGAAACAGCTTACTGAAGGAGAAGGGCCCCTGGAGCTTAGGAGAGAGAAAGGCAAAGATGAAGTGTTTGGAGGAAAGCGCAGGCAGGCACCTGGGAGGGAGCCTGCCAGTACCTCATTTTTTTTCTGCCCTCATTGGACAGGAGATGTGTTCAGATATAGTGACAGTGATTTGCAGACAGGATATGTTAAGTGTCCAAAATAAAAAACGAAGCATTTGACCCTTGTTTATTTATAATTGTACATAATTTAAATATTTATTTAGAAAGTGAATACTTGAATTATGATCATGCATTAGTATCTCAAGGTGTACATAATATTTCCTTAGAATAAGGTTCATTGTTACTGAATTTAAGTCTATATTTTAAATAGTTGGGTTTTTTTTTTTTTAGTAACTTTTCATATTTTGGCTGACTTATAATACCTGATTAAGTTGTCAGTGTTTCTAATTTAGATGTTGATAAGATTAGATGTCATCTCTGCCCTTTTATAATTGGCTTTTGCTAATGTCCTAGGTATTATCTTTAGTTTGAGGGAGTATTGGCCTTTTGATTTAATCACACCTAGATCTGTGAATTGTGAATCTTCTTTTTCTCAGGATACCTTTCAGACCAGGCAGTGGTGTCAGTATCGGTTTATGTACTGGGTATTAGTAAAGTGTAATTTCTTCTTGTAGAAGGCACAGCCTAGAGCAGTGTTTCTCAGAGTGTTTGGACCACCTACGTCAGAATTCCTTGGTGGTTGCTTAAAGTCTCCACTCCCCCCCCCCCCCACACACACACAGACACACAGACACACACAGACACATACCCTACTGAGGTGACTGGAGTTGAGACTCACTGGTGAGTAGAGCTAGGTGGCGTCATGTGACGTGGTGCATACATAACAAAGGAGATAGGGTACTAGGAACTCTTAGTGACAGAATACATTTTTGCACGGTAAGAGACTTGAGTTTATACCCAAAAGGGAACATTCTTAACCTCTTTCTATTAAAAAACCGTTGCTGGTTTGAAATTTAGATGGTGAATTTGAGGCATTTCTTTTTCAAAATTTGTTTTTTAATTTTTAATAGGTAGAAATCAAAGGTGGAGCACATGATTATTACAATGTCCTTCCCAATAAGAGCCTATGGAAAGCTTATATTGAAAACGGGGAAAAGCTGGGAATAGAATTCATTTCAGAAGATGATCCAGTTTTGAATGTATCTTCAGGTAATTAAGTTCTTTTATGTATTGTGCTATTTGAGAAAAGGAATACTGTCTTTAATTTTGTTTAACAGGTTTGAAGGTAGGGAGGTATTGCTGATGCTTTTAATTATATTTTTCATAAACTTAATGGTTAGAGAAGGAAACTGATGGACTCTTCAGTGATTGTAGAGTGTCAAACAAGCAGGTTTGTTTTTAGAAATAGGCAACATACTGCCCGGCTGGTGTGGCTCAGTGGTTGAGTGTCTACCAAGACTCAGGAGATCACAGTTCAATTCCCGGCCAGGCCATATGCCCAGGTTGCGGGCTTGCAGGAGGTAGCTGATCAATGTGAGGCATGCAAGAGGTAGCTGATCAATTATTCTCCTCATTGATGTCTCTATCTCTTTCTCCCTCTCCCTTTCTCTTTGAAAAAAATTAAAATATACGTGTGTGTGTGTGTGTGTGTGTGTGTGTGTGTGTGTATGTGTAAAAGCCAGCATACTTTTTGCTTTATATTCTAAGTATTTCCAGTGTTAAATTTTCTTAGTTCTAAATTTTTAAAAATAATTTTGTATTTTTTTTATTACAGTTGACATGAAATATTATATTAGTGTCAGGTGTATAATCCAGTAATTGGACATTATATAACTTAGTAAATGATCACCCATTACAAAAAAGTTTTAAATAAGCTACTAAAAGGAGAAATAGAATTTCTATTCATTCTTAGTCATCAGTATGCAGGCTACTAAGTATTTAGTTAGTAGTTATATGGGGTCATTTTTGGTTTCTGAGACATAATAAGGAACTGTTCAATTTTAAATAATCATAAGTCTATTGGGGTTTATTTTAGATTTGTTTCCCCTTTAAAAACATTACTAATACATTTGCATTTTAGAGATGCATCTCCTAAAATATAATAATAGAGGTTGATGAAGTAGACTCAGAAAAACTTGGTGATAAAAATGGGGTGCTGATGTCACTCATTAAGATGAGGAGTTCAAAAGAAGGAGCAGGTCGAGGTATTGGGGGAGATATAAATGATTTGTATGTTAAATTTGAGGGGCTTGCTGGATATCTAAGAGGAGCTGTTCAGTAGCCTGTTGAATCCGGAACTCCCAAAAGTTCCAGATTTTAGGAGTTGTCAATATCAGCAAAGTATATGAAAACAGTTAATGAGGTTGCCCAAGAAATCCTAGGGATCACTAGCACTTAGGACACACGCAAAGGAAGCATCTAGAGGAGACAGAGAGTGGTCTGAGAAAGCCCGACAGTCAGGCGAGAGTGGAGTCATGGAAGCCAAAGGAGTGGAGAATGTGGAGAAGGGAAGGAACAGTAAATCATGCCAGGTGCTAAGAAAATTGGCTGAGAGAAGTATGATCTCATATCCATTGGGCTAGCAATTAGAAATTCACAGGTTGTCTTACTTTTCCCAGGATCTACTGATTTTGGAAATGTTAGTTTTGTGGTTCCTGGAATTCATCCATATTTTTACATTGGATCCGATGCCTTGAATCATACAGAACAATATACTGAAGCTGCAGGTAAGTGTTAGAAATGAACATTTTGGCACATGCCTGCCTTTTGTATTAGATGCTGCCTTTCTGATTGGTTAGGTTAGAATAACCTCAGAAAACTCTATATTGTGGTGGGCAGGGGAGAGGCGATTTAGATACTGAGAACGAGCCTGAAAACTAGTAATTTATAATAATACTTTGATTTGTTTCTTAATCTTTTAGGATCACAAGAAGCTCAATTCTATACTTTGCGTACAGCGAAAGCTCTGGCAATGACTGCGTTGGATGTTATTTTTAAACCAGAGTTGTTAGAAAGAATCAGAGAGGACTTTAAACGGAAACTTCAAGAAGAAGAGTTTTTAAATAGAGTAGAATAAAAGGAAGATTTAGGAGTCACATAGGAATCATTGAGGAGAAGTGATTATTTTTTTCTTCATTTTTTAATGAAGGAGAAGGCCATCTTTGTTTTTCAATCTTAAAGGAATCAAAATTCTCTTCCTGAAAAGTGAGGACATGGTGTGGAGAAAACACATGAACTTTTAGCTAAAATTAAAATGCTCACAAACCTGTATTTGATGGAACTGTGATCTTTCAGGAGCTGGACCATGGTGGCATTTCTTAAACAACCTGGATAACACAGGGTTTATCAGTGATAATGGTGTATAAGTTCATATGTGTGTAAGTATGTTTCAAAAGGTCCAAGAGATTTCAAATCTTATATTCAGAATTAACTCATGAAAGATGTTTTCCTGGTATAGGGTGTAAAATTGTTTTAGAAAGTAGTTTTAAAATTCAAGTTTTGAATTTGAAGGAGTTCATTTTTATGTCTGACTGTTTTGGTTTAGAGACTGTTTTTCATTGGTAATAAAAGGTTTTTAATCAGAAATGCTGTGGGGAACTCAGGTACAAAGAATAAGCTTTATGTTAGTTTATGTTAATTCTATTAGAAAAAACTACAGTCTAAAAATTATTAGACTCTTCCTGTAAATTGTCTGCTTGATAGTCTAGTGTGTTCTAAGTGGACTTAATGAGAGAAGAACAATGCGTGTCTTGAATGCTAATTACTTGGGCTTCTACTCAGAAGCCAGCCTGCCTAGCCTGGGTACACAAAGTATTGTAAGTTGTTCTTGGTTCTTATTTTATTATGAATTTTAAAAAAAATATATATATATATTTTATTGATTTTGTACACAGAGGGAGGGAGAGAAATAGAAAGCTAGAAACATCGATGTGAGAGAAACATCGACCAGTTGCCTCCTGCACACCTGGGGATGTGCCCGCAACCAATGTACATGTCCTTGACCGGAATCGAACCTGGGACCCTTCAGTCCATAGACCAACCCTCTATCCACTGAGCCAAACCTGTTTCAGCTATTATGAATTTTTAAAACATGATAAAAGAATGTGGAGAAAGTATCTGGTTAAGCAAATATCTTAAGCTGGTAATACAGCAAAGCTTCAGTATACTTTATTTTAAAGGGAGTGCTCAAATTTTAGGGTAAATATTCTAAAATGGAAGGGGAAGGAGAGAAAAGTCAGCATTTGGCCTCTGCTGTAAGCAAGTCATTTGGGCCCCTCGAGCCTTTAGCTCTCCATTTGGAAAGTTAGAATAAATCACTTACACTTGCACAGATCAAATCGTGACCTCCTGGCTCATAGGTTGACACTCAACCACTGAGCCACGCTGGCTGGGAGATCTCCCCCCTGCCCCAGTCTCTCCATGTAGTGACTTAATTTTAAAAGCAGGCCTGAAGAGGAGGCATGTATAAAACAAGCATGTGGTGCTATGAATAGCTAAGTTGCTATGTATCATATAATAAGATCGAGGATAGCTAATATTTAGCTTGCCTCTTAAAAATTTAAGACTGTTTTTTAGTTTCTAAGTATTTTGTAATCTACTTTTATAGATGAGGGTGGCACATTTTGATATGTACGAAGTTAATATTTTCAAGTAAACAATCACTGTCTACTACCATCAGATGACAGTAGTTTTAAAAAAACATCTTAATACGTATTAAAGTATGTTTAAAAAAGTAGAATGTTGCTGAAACCGGTTTGGCTCAGTGGTAGTGCGTCGGTCTGCGGTCTGAAAGGTCCCAGGTTCGATTCCGGACAAGGGCATGTACATTGGTTGCGGGCACATCCCCGGTAGGGGGTGTGCAAGAGGCAGCTGGTCGATGTTTCTCTCATCATCATTTCTAGCTCTCTCTCTCTCCCTTCCTCTCTGTAAAAAAATCAATAAAATATATTTCAAAAAAATAAAAAAGTAGAATGTTAATAAAATGTTCATCTAATAGCGATTGTCATGTGCTTTTCCCCAACATCACATCTATAATGCAAATATACAAAGATAAAACACAATCACCCAAATATACTATTTTATGGTAAATTAATATATCGTTATCATAGGTGTTGGTGTGCTTTTAAATTATAAATGTTATGTTATTCATATAATGAGAATTTTAAAGAACAATTAAGTCCTTTTGCTTAAAAACTAACGTTTTAATGGTCTTAAAACCTGAAAATATAAACCAGAAAAAAAAAATATCAGGTCAAGGTATCCCAGCCTTCCCTTTATTCAAGGCTTCTGAGGCTGTAAGTTGGCTCAAATCTGAGACTTGATTAAGGGGCTGTGACTCTGGTTTCATTATTTGAGTCATTTGATCTAGAACCTTTATGTTTATACAGATCACAAAAGAATTTAGTAGATTTTCTATTTCATTTCTGGCAAAACCGTGAGTATCAAACGAATGCCATAGACCTGTGTGCGTTTGACTATCCTGATTGCTGCTTTGACTTTGCTGCCCATTGTGGTAAATTTTGGCCACTGAGTGTCACTACTTGGCTCCTGCCACCCAGGATCCAAATGCTGCCATTGCATTCAGGTTTTCCAGTTGGGTCACTGTAGTTCCCACGATAGCGCGTGGCCTACAGAGAAGAGTAACCACAGAGCTCTTCAAGGGGCTCCATTCGCAAATATACTGCTCCAAATATTGAACCTTCCCACTATGGGAGAGGAGGTTCCACATGGCAAACCCACTCTGTGGTACTTCGCTGTAGTAGCTCCTGCAGACTAGTTCAGCATCCTATATGCTGGTTCAAATGGAATTTCCCAAATGAGGCAGATGGATGCTCAGACGATGTACCCTGGGAACCTGCTGGAATCTAGGAGCTAGGTGACTTTAGGTGGCCTTGGTCATAAGGAAAAAGCCCTTGGCAAAGATGCCTGTGAAGAGTTTGATTGAAATTGTTTCATAAAATAAGCATAAAAAGTAATGTTTTAAAAATAAGATTTAATATTATAGTTAACAATGAACTATTTTTTATATCGCTTTATTTACCTGAGTGTCAAAAAACTTTTTTGATGAGCTTTTATTTGGGAAAATGGGAAATTGCCTTAGTATTTGTGCAAATATGTTTTGTGTGTGTATGGTTTTTGTTAATCCTTACCTGAGGCTGTTTTTCCCATTTATATTTAGAGAGTGAAAGGAGGGGAGAGAAACATTGATATGAGAGAGACACATCAATTGGTTGCCTCCCACATATGCCTCTACTGAGACAAAGATCCCCGGGGATTGAATCTGCAACCCAGGTACCTGCCCTTGACCAGGAATCAAATCCAAGGCCCTTTGATGCATGGGCCGATACTTTAACCACTGAACAACATAGGCTAGGGCGCTGCTGTTTTTTCCCTCCCAGATGGTAATAAAGTAGCCCTTTCTGTGTATGAAAAATACCACAATATTATTTACTATAAATGATTAGTCAAATTAACTTGGAATGAAAATTACATTATTATATATAGCATTCACTTTATTAAAGTGAGTTTCAAACAAATGCTGTTTGGATAAGTTTGATGGGGGTTGATTATATATATATATATATATATATATATATATATGTAACTATTTGTTTAAAACGATACATCAAATAAGAACCCTCTCCTTTGCCCCATGCCCTGACATTAGTGGCCATTGTTTTCTGGTTCAGAGGAAATGCTGGTATTCATTGAGTCTGAATGCAGATGTCCAGTGATGTCTTCCCATTTCTTTTGCTCTTTGGTGTTCTTTTTCTCTTCAGAAACCATTTGAGTTTTTCTCATCCTAATAAGTTACAGGCAGTCCCAAACAATGCTTTTTCTTAAAGTATTTATATGGGGGAAAAATCAGTCTATTCCCAAGTTCCTCAGTAAAGACATTTCCGAGGAAGGACTTTGAACTAGGACATGCTCCATGGTGGAGATACATGAAGCAGTAATTATAAGGTGGGGAACACTTAAACACAAGTTCGCGGGGCTAGTTATCACTACCACAAAACTGACAAAATGCCATGTGTGCCCCTTGTCCTCACAGTATCCCAACCAGGGAAATTCCTAACCCAAATCAAAGCAATTGCACCGTCTAAAGAGCTTTTCTCATGAAGAGGTGAAAAAACTTCATGATCCACGAAGATGTAAAGGCAAACAGGAATTTCATTATTGCCTTGTAGTAAAATAAATACGAGGCAATACACTAAAAATAGGTAACAGGCTATAAGCTGAAGCATGAATTTTGGTCAGAGTGGGGACTTTTAGGTGCACGTATGTTTTTTTTAATATATTTTATTGAATTTTTACAGAAAGGAAGGGAGAGGGATAGAGAGTAAGAAACATCGATGAGAGAGAAACTGCCTCCTGCACACCCCCCACTGGGGATGTGTCCGAAACCAAGGTACATGCCCTTGACCGGAATCGAACCTGGGACCCTTCTGTCCACAGGCCGACGCTCTATCCCCTGAGCCAAATCGGTTAGGGTGCGTGTATGTTCATACAAATGAACTTTAGGTGTAGTCCAAGTGCACCTCGTCCAGAGAATGTAGCACGAAGGAAATCATTCCTGCAAATAAGCGTTTAGGGTCTAAAAGAGGTTGAACTACAGTGTGCCCACAAGCCTGTCTGTATTTCCAGGAGGTTTCAGTAACAACTCTCTTCAGTTGCTATGGATATTGTATTTATGCAGCACCTAGCATCCTTCTGTGTGTTCCTAAGTGCAAATTAAAGCAGGAAGTCTCTTGTCAAGATACCGTATTTTCCGGTGTATAAGACGACTTTTGAAATGAAAAAGTCAACCGAAAAAAAAAAAAACCACAAAAAAACAATCCTGAGGTCGTCTTATACGCCGAGTATAAGAAAAACCTCTTATCATCCCTGTCAGTCACAAACAAGCGTTTTCTGCAAGTTCTTCATGTAATTTTCTTTCCAGATGATGCCATCATTGTTAATGTTCTCTTTTGGATTTCTTGTTTCTCGGTCAAGTTCATGGCATTGCCATTTGTGAAGAGACCTTCCATTTATCGTATCAATGTACGGTATATTACGGTATGTTCAGAAAATGTCATT